CAAAAAGTTCTAGATATCAAAAGGCGATAACATTCAACTTTTTTGTTTAGTCAACTAACACTTATTCCAGCGCAATTAGAAGTACAGTAAACACTCGCGAGATGAAACTATTTGCCTTTCTCCGATTCGCAAAAGTATTGAAATAAATTATTTAAAACGACTTCGTATATATTTACTTGAATGTTTTTTCGTTTTCATATCTTTTGCATGATAAAATAATTATTTTAGCGTAAAAGAAATATTGTGCATCTAAATTCTACGAGTCGAGTTTCTTTAATTTTTACTCAAAAACTGTCTTCTTGTATCTAAGGAAAATGTGATATATTCGTTTTTTTCAGGACTTTCCACTTATTGTAGGAAAATACTCTAACCTAAAATGTTAATTTGGACCACAAAACATTATAAAATTCTGGTGTTGTCCCATTTTGTTGTTTTACGTGTTTTACAGTTATTTATTGTTGTTGTCGAAACATTTTGTTTTTGTCATTAGGCAAATTTCGAATGGGGCGAAAGCCAAAAACTTTTTGTGGCAAGGATAATTAAGCACAGACAGTTAACTAAACAGATGGCAAAAGACTCTGAGTGTGTGTGTGTGTGTGTGTGTGTGTGTGTGTGTGTGTGTGGGTGCGGGGCATATTCCCCGCGCGTGCCTGCAATGCCAAAGCAGCAGAATAAGCCGCACAAAAATGTAATTTTTGAAAAGCAGCCTAACCAAGCTGGCAGCAAACAATCTAATTATAATGAATTATAAACGAAGCCGGCAGCAGCAATCGGGTCAAAGGGCAGATATGAGCTGAGCAGAACAGAAAAAAAAAAAACAAAGTGTAAGAACAACAGCGGAAAATCGAGGGAGTTACCTAAAACCCGAGTCTACTTAGAGGCGCATAGCAAAACGTTTAGCCTGTAGGTGAGTGTAAGTATATATGTGTCTGTGTGTGCGAGTGTGTGTGTGTGTGTGTGTGTGTGCCGTAATATGCCTGCACAAGTTAATTAATATTTTATGTTATTAACATGGTCGACTGCTGTTTGGATTTGGGCTGCACGGAGGCCAACCGGGAACGCCGGGTGTTTGCCAAAAGGCAACGCCAGGCACCGTTTATTGGGGCTAATAAAGCAACGAACGGCATATTGTTTAACCAGGCTCAAAATGTGCACAAAATTGCGGTTAAATTGTGCTACATCTGAAAGCCCCAAACAGCCAAGTCCAGCCCGAGCACGGGCAACAGCCACAAATGGGCGAAAAATGTTGATAATGAAATTTGTCAAAATTAAAAACTTTCGCATAGTTGTGCGGGCCAACAACAAATGTGTGTAAATGCGCATGTGTGCGTGTTATGTAAATGATACCAACTCACGGAATCCTTTTGCAACATAAAACATATCCCTTTTTCAGCTAAGCCAAAGCCCAAACGGCATTTCGGGCTAAACAAACAATAAATTTACTTCTTAATTAACGATTTGTGTTTACCAGAAACTTCGCCCAAACTCTAGCAGCATTTGGCTTCAGCACAAAATATAAACAAAATAATTTATTGCATATTTTAAATTTGTATTAAAGAACAAAGAACTTATTGTATTATTATTGGAGTTATGTGAAATAATTGTGTATGCCTTATTTAGAAGATATTTCAAAATTCTGGAATAGTTTTCTCAATGACAGAGTGAAACTCTCCAATTACAGAAAAGATGTCCAAACTTGTGGGCAAAGATTTTTCAACTTGAATACTCCGAAATGCGCGACTAGTGGATACCCTTTACTTTCTTTTAGCAACAACATATATAAAATGAAAGATACTTGATCTGTTTATACTTAACTAGAAGATACATGTCAAATTTCGTGAGTCTAGCTTCTAAAACCTTAAAGATTTACTAGGAATAGAAGGACCAATATTCAAGGTCTCAATTCTCTAGTTCTTAGATTGATTCGTTCATAGATACGGATGGTCGGACAGACGATCAGAAATGACTAGATCGACTAAGCTATTGTTGCTAAGCATGAATATATATACTTTATGTTGCCGGAGTTATTTCCTATTGCCTGTTGCATACATTTCCACAAAAACATTCACATTTTGTAAATCCTCGCTATTAGTCTCAAAAAATACATACAAATTCTTTTAGTTTAGGTTAAGTGCTCCATAATCAATCTAACAAAATACAGTCTACGCCCCAATCCTGGTGTTATGACATTGAAGAACAACCCACATTAACCCCAGTGACACATTAAATGGCATTTCGTTCTCAAAGTGACGTGGAATACAAAAAGTGCTTATCGGCAACTCGATAACATCGTCAAAATCAAATAAAGTACTTACAGCATAGAGAATTATATAAATATATATGTATATCGCGATAAGAAAAGACTCTCGACTTACCATGAATGACCAGCTGGGAGTCGTAGTTCATCTCATACAATCGTATGGCTTCATCCAGTTCCATGTTGGTGGATATGGTGCAGGGGTCGTTCTCCTCATCGACCCACTTGATGGTGAAGGGCTGTAAAAGAAGGCAAACACATTTAGTAGAGATACAAGGATCTAGTGATGTGCTCGAAGTCACCTGATCGATGGGAAAGCGGCAAATGTTGCGTATCTCATAGCACAGTTCCTCGTACGTGATATTCTTATTGATGGTCGTGATTATGATCTGGCCATTGTAGGCAGTCTTCACTGTAATGCAATTGGGCGAGGCGCCCAGCAACGAGGCGGCATTGTTCAAGCTGCCAGCGCCACTTCCATCGTTTAAAATTTGCGAGGGCATTTTCTGCATTGGGACGGAAACGTACAAAACGACGATTGAGACGGAGGCGTGTTGCAAGCGGAGTTATTGTCGTTGATATTTATTGAGAATTTATTTGTTTGTTTTGTCTTTAAGTTGTATTTAAACATGCACAAGAATCACAGAAATTATAACGAACTGTAAGAAAATAAACGATAAAGCAAAAATGAATTAGCACATTAGGTGCTTTAAATAAAAATAAGTTAATTAATAATAGATAATATAATTTGTTTGTCTTTTTAGCTCATTGCAACTTAACATTCTGCTGCTGGACTTAACAGCGCTGTTAAGCTATGCTTTAACAGTGTTTTCTGCCTTTCGCATCCCCCCGCCAGAGATGCAGCACGCCCAAAAGCTTCAGATGAAAAGCACTTTTCTCTTATTCGAGCTTTTTTTAATTCAAATCACTTTTTGGGATGCGCCACGCAGCTGTCAAAATTTGACTTTTGCCCCACCACACCGGTTAAAGTTCGCGAGCATAAACAACATGCCACAGGTGTCTGTTGTTGTTGCCGTTCAAACGCACAGCCGAATTCTTGCTGGCAACTAACATTGCAATAGCATGAATCATAGCATCTGTTGCGGCAGCAACTGTTAAAAGGCGTTACGCCCACAGCTGAGAGTAATGCAAAAGAAGCCACAACGAAAATTAGAACGCAAAGCTCAACAGCAAGAACAACAGCAACAATGTTAAGTGTGCTTATTGCGCAAACACGGCCCACGGCCCACAAACAACGAGTATTTGTATTGCTTTAATTAGCGCCGTGCATTGACCAACTAAAAAGGCAGCCAAGACGACAACAACAACAACAACAGCAACAACAGCAGCAGCAGCGCAGCGAGAGCCAAGCCAAGCCAACAAATGCCAAAGCGTAGCAGCGACAACCTGTATTTTTTTTTTTCTTCTTTTCTTTTCTTTGCTCATTTGCATTTAAAATCTGGGCTGTGTTGCCGCTTTTGCTTGAATTTCTATTTGCAGTTGAATTTTTGCAAGACAATAAACTGTCGATTTACTTAATTTCACCTCATTATGCTTACTTCTGTTAGTCGTGGTAATTTGTTTAACCAAAAATGCCGCACAAGGCAATTGTAATAAGCGCACTCTCACACACACACACAAACACACACAGAGACACACACCGCACACACGCAAAGAAAATACTAACGCAAACGGAACACGGCACGCAAAGAAACGGAAACCTTAATTGCAGTTAACTAAAAAGCGACACATAATTAAGCTGACGAAATAAGCGCACGCACTTTAATTGGTATTGTTAGCCATCAATTGTGTTTAAATAATTGTAACATTTTTTACAAATGCAACAAGTGTGGCTGTCTGTGGCTAACAAATTGCGCTGTTTTATACTGAAAACCAAAGATGACACTACATAAATTTAAATATTTATCGATGCCAGAAATTGTGCCATCGATGATCATATTCCACACAATCGTTATATCGATTGTATCGATATTATGTAGAAATTAGTCATATTCCATCTATTATATCGTGATTTATTATTTTTTTTAAATAATTCTTGACAAACATAGTGTTTTATGTAAAAATAAATTTGTAGATCAAGTATTACTAGAAACACGGCAAGTTATTGATAAAAAACAATTTAATATTATTTTGGTTTTTTTTTTTCTAAAACCACATGATAAGAAATACTGAAATTAGGCATTTTTGTTTCGATAAGTATCGTTATTTACTTAGTGGTATTTCGGATCTTTGAATCTGCAGTCACACTCAGTTATGTTTTTGTTTTCCTGCTAAGCGGTTCGGGTGGTTTGCGTCGCTTTGTCGCGCGAATCAGACGAGTGATAAAAAACGCATAAATTAATCAAATCTGGCACAAAATTAATAAATGTTTATATTTAATCGCACAAATATTTTAATTAATTGAGAGCGCCAGACAGCGAGCACACAAGCAATTAAAACAACAAGTTCACAACAAAGAAAATGGCGGCGTAGCAAACAATAAAAACCAGCGACAACAACACGGTGCCAACTACGCAAGCAGCGCAGCTTAGTAAACTCTTTTTGGCTGCACAAAAAATTAATCTGGTTTTATGTTTTACTTTTATGAGTCGCGCGCGCGCCATTTGTATCTGTGAAATTGTGTGTGTGTCTGTGTGAGAGAGTGCTTGTAGAAAATACCATAAAACGTGCAGGCAACAACACAGCAACAAATACAATAATTAATGCCCTGTTACAGTTTTACATTTGTTTACTTTTGTGTGTCAACTTTCGTCGCGGTTGTTTTTTAATGTGATTACCTCGCTTTATGTCGTTACTTTTTGGAAATTGAAGCGACGACAAAATAGTGGAAAATCGCCTTTGCCACACATTTTACAGGTTAGTATTTTGAAGGCGGCCGCAATCGCGCTCGAAATGTTTTTGTTTTGACATTCGTGTCCTGCTGCCGGCGTCGGCGCTGACGTCGCCATCTGTCATTTTGTATGGTTCTTCTTCTTCTCCGTTTGTGTGCACGGGGCGCTACCAGCTGTTCGGCTCCTTTGTTAAGAGTGGCCAGGGCATCTGCAGGAAATTGGTTTTTGTTTCGAAACAATATGCAGCTGCGGCTGCGACTGCATCTGCTTATGTAATTAATAAACCAACACGTGTCCGTGTCGGCGGCAGCAGCGTTCTGCTTGAGCGCCGACGCTGACGCGTGCTGCAGACAACAATGGCGCTGCGGCAACTCTAGCTGTGCTGATGCTTACCATAATTTATTCCCAGCGCCCGTTTGTTAACAAAACGCGCTCGTCCGCAATTAAATGTTGGGCTGTCATCTACGCATTGTCTTTGGCAGCACTTGTAAATTCAAAATGTGTTTACTTCATCTCTTCTTCTTGTTGAGCTTTGTACTCGTTGCAAAGCACTCAAATTGCGCCATAAAGCTCATACATATAAATCAATAGAAAGCGCAGTACAAACACTCGCACACACACACACTGACACAGGCTCATAACTCACTTGCTATAATGGGTAGCGACTCTCGCGTCCGCTCAGTATGCAGAGATTTGTGTGGGAATCAAATGACTTGACGACGCGTCGTTGCCGTCGCAACGTAACGCAACGCAACGCAACGCAAACGGCTCCAATGAAGTGTTAGAATTGTCGTTGATGTGGGCAGGGTTCAGTGGGCGGGGGGAGTAAAGTGGCAGCTTAGCGAGCGTCGATATCATTTCGTTCAGCGAGAGCGCGCGTAGATGACAAAGACAGAAACAGAGAGCGACAAAATAAGAGCGTGCGCAGGCCATTTAATAAAGTTGGAGCCTTTTTGAAGTTTCTGTGTTAAGCCCGTTTGGAGCGCGTGCTCGCTCTCTCTCTTTCTCTCTCACCCGCTGCTCGCTCATTCTCTTTGGGTCTTATTGGCTTATGCGGCAAGCGAAGTGGTTGACTAGCCTGCGTCTGAATTTCTGTCTCTGTGTGTGTGTGTGTGTGTGTGCGTTTGTTGGTTTGAATGTGCTTTGTGGCATACATGGCACAGTGGGACAACTGCAATTAATTATAAGTTAAGCAAGCAGACCAAGAAACTTGTCAATAAATATGTTTATAGTTAATAAAATGTGTGTTTAATTTGACAAAGACAATAATTAATTTTTATTTTGTTAACTGACTGATCAAATTACTATTCAAATTAAATCTTAAAAACTAATTAGATGTATAATTATAAGTTGTATTATCTGAAAAAAAAAAACATAGTGAAAGGTACTCCTTCACAGTGAAAATTGTTAATAAGAAAATAAACTATTAAAAGTATCAAAAAAGTAAAACAAATGTTTATATTATTGATTTTACTTTTGCTTCTTACTTACCCTTGAATTTGAGTTACTTTAATGAGATGGACCCAGTTTTACAACTTCCCATGCTAAACACGATTGAATGCAAATGACTTACAATCATTCAAGTTTTTCCCGCCTCAATGGACTGACCTCTAACTCTTATCGTAGCAATCTGGGGAAAACGAAAAATAACAATGTCAGCTCGTAAATATTCATAAGGTTTAGCTTGGACAGGTTTCCGTTCTGCTTTGAAATGTGATTTTGTCCACTGTGCGTGCATTGTACGACATGAAATGAATACATTTCTCTCAGGCTCCTGCTCCTTGCTGCTGCACACTGTGGGGCGGTTGTATGCACACGCCTATAATCAAAGCGGCTGCCCCTGTTGCATTTATTAACTAATTTGCCAGCAACAATAAATTGCCATGCAATTGTTATTGTTTCAATTGCAACAAATTGGCTTGCCTGTGTCTATGCCGCTGGCAGCAAAAACCAAATTGAGAAGAGTTTTGAGTGCGGTAAATTGCGCGCACTCCAGCTCGCACGCTCGCTCTCTCTCTCTCTCTCTCTGTCAATTGTCTCTCTTTCTGTAAACCTTTGGTAATGTACAGCAGGAGGACTCTGACTCGGACTCGGAACTTGAGCCGCGTTTTCAATACGCTTTGACTTGCGGTCGCCGTCGGCTCGTGCACGTTCCACCTTTTTTTCGGCTAGTTCTTCGTTTCTTTTAGCAGCAGCAGCAGCAGCCGCCGCAGCGGCAAGTTTTTTGCGCTGCCTTTTCATATGCTTTACTTGTTTTGTGTCGGTGTGTCGGTGTTAGTGTTACTTGCGTGTGTGTGTATGTCTGTGTCTGTGTGTGTGCGCGCAAAAGAAATTTGCACAGAATTTTCCGACGCGTTTTTGTGCTACAAAATCAATTGCAATTTATGCAAAATATATAATTAATGCTCATTTAAATTGAGCTTTTGTGTTTCCCATTAAGGTTGCTCCGAAAATCAACGTTTTCAAATGGTAATTTACATATTTTAGCCACAGTTGTTGCAGATATTCAGCCATAAGCTGTGTAGCTGTGTGTACGCATGTATGTGTGTATGTATATGTGCGTGTGCGTGTGTGTGTGTGTGTGTGTGTGTGCGTAGTAGTAAACGCACTTTGCAAGTGGGTGGCAAGTGGTTAGGTACTAAAAAGTTCAATGTAGCTGTAAATGCCTTCTGCACACTCCACCTCCTGCTCCTGTCGTTGTTGTTGTCGTCGTTGTTGTTGTTGCTTTGTTCGCATTGCTCGCTTTACAACTTGTTCGCGTTTTTTGACCAAAAAGCAGAATTGATGGCCGCTTTTGGAGCTTTGCTGCTCTCAACGTACGTGCTGACAGCCTTATTTGGTCCGTCTGTCCGTCCGTCTGACGGGCTCTTCTTCTGTCTGGCTGTCTGCCCGTCTGGTGCCATATGCGCTACGCATTCGTTTTGCATTAACCGTTAACTGCACGTATGTGTGTTGCCCCGCACACACGCTTCTTACCACTTTACCCCTCGCGCCCACACATTTGACACATCTTCGTTGTGTGTTGCATTTTACTCCTACGAGCTTTTTATGGGCTCTTGTTTGCTCCGTTCTTGGCGTTGCCAGATGAAACCTGAAACAAAACGCAAGACAATGCAATAACAACTACAACAACAACAACTCCCTTTACAGGCAAAACAAGTTTATGCTGCCTGCGGCCATTGTGGTTGCTTTTGCTGTCCTCTCCTCTGCTTTGCTTCTCGCAAGATCAACATCTCCAGTTATCGACAGGCAGCGACACCATCTTACTTTCTTGTTGTGGTTGTTGCTGCTGCTGCTGCTGCTGCTGCTGCTGACAAAACATGCTACCAACAATGCACAAAGTACACGAAAACCTAGACTCAGACAGTGGGGCGTGGCAAGGCGACCAAAAAAAAAAGAAATGTAAGAAAAAATGCAGCCAAAAACTTTTTATCAGCTTTGCATTTTAGGGAAAGCATGGAACAGCGTCTCATGACATATGCAAAGCACCCGCAACAACAGTAAAACAACGATTGATGAGCGCACAAGATACCCTGTAAACAATTGTAACATGCATTGTTAATGAAATTCTAACTAGAAAGCAATTCACAGATCTGGCAACTCGAATAAGTTAAAGCTAGGCTTTGATCAAAGCTCTACAACCCTGTTTTATATTACATCTCTACAGGGTGTACGAAGAGTCGTTGTCAATAAGTCGCGCTATTAATGAAGTGTTGCCTGGGCGGTCCCTTTATCTAGCGTGCTTAATGACACCCACACAGAGAGAGAGAGAGAGAGAGAGACACTTACACACACATAGATCCCAGTTAAGCACCGTTAATAAACATGAGAATGAGATTCGCTTCATTTGATTTCAGCCGCCACCGCCTCCGCCGCTGCCCCTTGCCTATTTGAGGTCCAGCTCCCATTGCCAGTGTGCCATATGAATCTGGGCACTGCAGTGGGTTGGGTTGAGGTCGGGCAGTGGGGGTCGCTTTTATCGGGGGTGGCTGGGCAACATCAACTTAGTTGATGTGATGCCTGGCCTGATAGATTGGCCGTGTTGCCGTTGCCGTTGCCATTTTATTGCGCTCCATTTGGCTGATTACTCATGCCAGTAAACTTTAACGGCGCACAGCGACGATCTCAGTTGATAGACTATCAGATACACTTACGCAGGCAGCTGGTAATTGATTGCATATTCTGTCAGTTGCCTAAAATTGATTGCTTTTGACTATTTTACAATCGTAAAGTTTATCAATTTATTAAATTGTATATTAAACATTGTATTTATTTTTTATTTATTCAAATTAATTAGTCGGAACTTAAAAGATAATTTAACTGTGAAAAGACTTGAATGAAATGTTGTTCCCTCCGAAATACCCACAAATATGCTCATATTTGCAATATGAGACTTATTCTCATAAATATGTGAGCATGTCGTATAAGTTCTTATCGGAACCCATTCAAAAAATATTCAAACTTTACAACTGACTCTCAATACTCCCACAATGTGAAGCGTATCAACTTTGCGGTCCCTTTGTGCTGTTCTATACGTATTTGTGTCTGCCTGCCTGTCACTGTGTGTGTGTGTGTGTGTGTGTGTGTGTGTGTGTGTGTGTGTGTTTAAAGCACTGGCAACCATAATTATTTTTAGTTGCTCAGCGTTTTTGCTGCTAACTTCAAAACCGCAACTCCGCTACATGGTACGCACACACACACACACATTAGCGATAAGTGTGTGTGTGTGTGACTACAACGACAATCAATAAATCTTTCAGCCTGCGCTGCCCTTTGTAATAGTTTTGTATTGTGTGCAGAGTTTCTAATAGGAAAAGGCCGCCCAAGCGTCCAATTGCATTTCCAATCAGTTTTTATGCTCATGCACTCACACTCACACACACACACACACACACACGTATTCGCACTGGCAAGTGGTGTTGTGCTCATTATGATTACTCACCACCCACACCCACAGCCAGCAGCAGTTACAACAACAACAACAGCAACTGCAATAGTTTTTGTATTATCTACGCCAGAGGGCGTCCTGTGTGCCATGTTTGCAATTAAATGTGCAAGCAACAAAAGGCAACACCGAAATGTACTCATAAAAATGGGCAGTAAACAACACGCAAAACGAAACAAAAAATAAATAAAACGGGGAAAAAAAACAAGCAGACAAACAGAAAATGTTAGCCCAAAATGCAAGCCGGCCGCACGGTTCAACAACATCTGCAAATGTGCAGCTGGGTGAACGGGGTGTGTGGGTGGGTGACAACAACAATAACAGCAACAACAAATCGCAACCCACATTTGTGTATCGTTCACAGTTTTTGATATACTACCCTACTACAACTCTGCTGCCTCTGCCGCTGCCGCAGCCGCTGCCTCCTGTCGTTATTCTGTGCGCTCTCTCTCTCTCTCTCTCTCTCTTTCTGTCTCTCTTAGTGATTGCGCTTACTCTCTGGACTGCGTTAGCCTCTCCCGCGCCTTCGGCTGCAGTTTTTCGTTAATTTTCGTTTCACGTCGCATACATAAAAATTCATTAAAGGCAGTCGACGACGTCGACGGGCTTGTAAATGAAATTTACTACTGCCACCGTTTTACGTGTTGTTTTTTTTTTTTAGCATTTGCTACGTTTCGCCGTTTTGTACTCCCACACACACACTCACAGACAGACTTTATGAAATTTGGCACCTGATTCTTTACTCTCGTCCCTCTGTGTGCGTTTGTGTGAGTGTGTTTACGTGCCTGTGTGCATGTCGACCGGCCGGGCATCGAGTACTTAATCGAACAGGTGGCCGTTGTTGCAGTTAGCATGTTATCGATAAACGCTGCTCCTAATCGTTTTGGAATTTAACTGTTTCACCAGAACTGCATATTAAAGCACCTACTCTTGTACTTGTTATTGCTTCCGAGTATTTTGCGGCTTTGTTCTCGCTAATGCTAATGACATGGCCAGGCAGTAGCTCTGTTCGTGACTTTT